GGTGCCAATGACTTTGGTCATCAGCCCCAGATCACAGTAAAAAATGTCTGTTCTTTACAAACTACCTACTCTGTGGTATTCTGTTGTGTCTGTATAAACGAGGCAGGGCCAGAAGGCCAACTTTAAAACTTAGAGATGGACCATGCAGAGACCATTGGTCTTTCCAGACCAAAGCAAGAATTCTTTTCATTCTTTTATAAGAAGTTGCTAATTACCTCAAGGTAGTGAAGCCTGAAGCTAGGGGTCAAGATGCCTTCAGACAGATTAAAGAGACACCTATAAATGTAACTCAAACACCTATGTGCTTTTCTCTGCTCTGTAAACCATATGAGAGAAAGTTTCATGCTCTGGCCAAGTGTACCCTCACTGGAGCAGGATGCCTGTCCAGTTGGATCATAAGTCTCATTCAACACAGTGATTATAGACATAAGATTTGGGCTGGAAAGCAGAATGCTGGGCTTCCCATTTAGAATGAGTCACATTCAAAGTATTTTTATTAGCATCCCCCAAAACCACAGCATACCTTCTGATGTTATTAATTGCAAATGTATATAAGCTTTTAGAAAGCCTCTACCATGGTTCCTAACATACAAGGGTCTAAAAATGGTGGATCAATAGGTTAAATTGCTGCAAAGAGCTGACTTCCAAGATTTGAAGGATTTATGCAAGTTTCATCTGAAATCTGGGAATTAATATTGAGCAATTAAAAGACCAGCATGGAATGACTGAAGAAACATGACACCTACTTAGAGCTGTGTTCTAGAAGTCCTCTAGACTCTGGCATTTCATCTCCCAGGAGAGCATGTGTACACTGAGGCTGTGTGACTATTGCAGTAAATTCCATTAGCATCTACTGTTTGTAGAAAGGGAAGACAGGACAGGTTCACGCACATGGAACACTCTCCTGTGCATGGGGACAGTTGGATATCCTTTATCTTGTTCCAGAAGACGTTAAAACACATTCCAAAGTCACATAAATTAAGACTCTGAGTAAAATACGCAAGAAATAAGGGTGTGTATGAAAAATAGAGCCAGAAGTGATGTTAAAAAATTCACATCATAACCTATATACTCAGTGTGGGTGGGGGATAAATTTGGCACTGGTTTTCTTGGAATCTGAGAAGAAACCTGGTTACAGTGCTACAGAGATAAACACAGCTGCTAAAATAACCAGTGAGAACAGTCCTGAAGAGAAAAATAGTCAGAGGCTTTCTGTAGTGTTGTGATAATGAGAACATAAATGGTTCAGTAAGCAACATCTAGCCACACAGTGCACACCGGGAGGGTTACAGCTAATTCCTACAGTAGAATTTAATGTAGATACTAGAATGAAGCTCTCTGCTAAAGCAAGAGCTAATAAAATATTTGGAAGTGGTCCAATTATTGTCAGATCTGCAAAAGTCTGAGTTTTTGCCATGTGTGCAAGTAAGCACTCGTTTGCTCATGGATGCTGGCATGAGACACAAGATTCCTGGGTCAAAGACAAAGGCCAGTGTATTGTTCATAGCCATAGCCATAGCCATAGCCATAGCCATAGCCATAGCCATAG